AGTCAAGGCACAACCCTGGAGCAATGATCTTTTGGCACAATTTAGTGAAATACAATTATTTGAAGAAAAAAGATGCCAAAGTCTGCCTCAGGTTGCCTATATTTATTTTTAATTTCAGCCAAAATGGCCAAGATATCTTAAACCTGTATCTGGAGGACCCTTATAAATATTCAAACCTTACAGCATGGACTTGGAATTTAGGGAATGGGTAGCCTTTGTGCTGTGGGTAGCATTTAGCTATTATTTTGCAAATTGCCTGAAATTTGGGCAAGAGATAAGCTTCAGATAAATTGTAAATTGTACTTAAGGACTATGTCTTTGAAATTCTTCCTCTTCTCTCAAAGACTTGGCTTTAGTCTTTCACTTCAGATACTGTAGATTGATTTCCTGGAGGAAGTGAAATTGTTTCTGGGAGAGCCAGTAGTGGGAGGAGAGATGAAATTGTTCACTCAAAGCGTAACACATTTTGCACAGAACATTGTTTTGTTAGTGAGGTGGCAAAGTCAAGCTCTTAAAATTAGAGAACAGCAAGATAAACACGGCCTGTGCAATCTCCTTTGGTCGTCCTTGTGGAAGAACCTGTTGTGCAGCTCTGTAGCAGATTGTGTGGTGAAGGCATGTGGGGTTTGTTGAACTTTTCTCATTTTTTTGTGCATGTTGGAACTAGGGTGTCTTCTGAGGTTCCTGCATCATTCAAAGTATTGTTTCAAGATAAGGCCGATAATAACTGCAATGGAAAACTGGGTTCCATCCCTGCTGTACTGGGAATTGTCATCACCATCAGAAATTGCTGCCATTGTAATTCAGATGTGAAAAATTTCTGCTATTCGTCATGAGATTTCTAGTCTCCTTTGCAAAAGCACTGCACATTCATAGCTGTGACTGAAGTCAGTGTTGCAGAGTAGTCAAGACAAGGCTCTCAGACAGGCATGAGAAGGACACAATGATTATGTGGATGATTATGATTAGATTTATTGCTAATATGTATCTAAATATTGCCAATTCGTTTTACACTCTCAGGCCAGTGTGCACCAAAGTCAATAACAACATCTTAGCTCTCCATCTCTGGAATGTGAGAATCCAGAGAGTTCCTTCTGCAATACCAATCTGGTTTTCTTAGCTGAGGACAAGCCACATTTTAAAAGCTATCATAATGTACATTTATTGGGGAAGCAAATAAAAGGCTGGATAAACTGGTGGAGTGTGAAGAGCCGGAATTAACGGGATTTTGAATTTAAGCTAAAATATACCATGTTCTGTCAGCATGGTATTACTTTGGTGATTAATGTGTGTTGAGGATTAACAGTATGGCTGATAGAGTTGTTAAGAGCTAGCTCAAAGAAGAATTGGTTTAGCCAGGTCCACCCGGGATCAAAATGTGTGTGACAGATGCTTGTAATCATTTGGGAGTCTCTGTACTGCATTCCCAGTATATTCTACTTCCCTGTGAGGTGTCCTCACCCTCTGAGACAGTGGAGAATGGACTGTAGAAGGTGTATTGCTTGGTTTGTGTCTTGTCTTTGTACCTTATTTCAGCATAGTTTCATATTCTTGGCAATAGGTAGTTGTATCTTGAATTTTCCTTTAGGGTATATATTTTATTAGATCACGGTGGTAACCATAGCAAAGTCTCCAGTGTCACAGTGTGGCATGCTGTATTTGCAGCCACTGTTCCACTTGGGAAAGCATGTTGTCTTCTACCTAGAAATACAGCATGATGAAAAAGACTCCATTCATCTATACAGTACCAATTTCATGGAATACCATTAGAAAACTGCTTTTATACAGTTTGCTCTTTGTTTTCTTTTCTAATGCTTTCCTGAAACTTGCATTCATGTAGTTTTCTTCAATGTCAGTGGTGCACACAAGCACTGGAGCAGACACTTGCCTGCCAAAAGGGAAAACAGGTTTAGAAAGAGCTGTCTCCGCAGTGCTGTCAATTTTCCTGGCTATACTAATGTTTAATTCAACGTGCATTTAGTCCCTACCTTGGGAAAAGAAAAGCAGCTGATGCTGCCTTTGCTCTACTGCTACCTTCTTTTTCTTAAAATGAGAAACAACGTAGTCTAACATTTTAAGTTGCTTTCACAATTGGTACCATAGTGTTTAGTTACTTTTATAAGAAGGACTCTAACTTAGTTTTATGAGACCAAATACTTGAAAGTTTGAACAGAAAAGACTTTTAATTCCTGTTTTTTGTCTGAATGAAGATTTGGTAGAGATTTCTCTATGTCTGTAGTGTGTCTGTAGGGCAAAAAATAAATGCCAAAAGACTGCAGCACAATTGACTCTCTAAGTTTTCCAGGATTCAGAGGAAATTGCTGCTTACGCTGAATTTTAAGTGGATGCATGCAATCCGTTTTGGAAGGTTTTGATACAGAACGTTATATCAGGCTCCCAGTTGCCTTGATCCTTGGGGTTGGAAGAAGAAGTTAATGATGCATAACACAAACATGATCGTCATTGATGTTTCTGTATGGAGAAAAGGCATACAAATAGTAACTGAAATATAAGTGTAAAAAAATGGGGTTATCCTGACCATTTATCACAAGCACATTGGAAATAAAAAAGGTGACTTATTTCTGTTCCTGGTGATATGACTGAATAGGATGAAAAGCTTTTGGTGAATATAAAGGTGCAGCTGGTGGGGCTGGCATGATGGGGCTTCGGGGATGGGACTTTGAGAACTAGTATTGCTTTTGTCTTCCTTTGATCTGGTTTCTGTCGGCTGACCAGTTGCAGATTATAGAAATCAGTAAAAGGTGAAGGAAGCAGTAAGCTTCCCACCTATCAAGTTGTCTGTCTCTCACAAAGGCTGAAAGACTGAACTTGCATTCCTTCAGCCAGCCCATGCAGTGCTCAGGGGCCATGCTGGGTGTATCTGAGGATGGGACAGCATCCTGGTCACCCCAACAGGCTTTCTAAATGGAAATTTCAGGCTTTTCTTTAAACTTCTTTGAGCACTGCAGGTGCTACCAGTATTCAAAGATTTGTATTTAGGTTAAAGAAGAGAACATATTTTTCCAACAGTCTTGTATTTGTCTTCAATAACAGTTAAACCATTAAAATGAGGGTAATCCTCTGAGCTTCTTATTTGACACTAGCCATTACTGTAGTAATGTGTTTCAGCTGATGTTTTGCCAGAGGCAGATTCTTGTGCTGGGGTTAGTACTCAAAACTTGTTAATTTATTCAAACAAATGACAAGGTTAACAGATGACTCTGTTTTGTTGGTCATATAGTAAAAGAAGACCAAAGCCAGCAATGCGAGGATGCATACTGAAGGATGACTGGTCCATTTTTGGCATGGTTCATTGATACAGTCCCAGAAAACTAACTGGGAGAATAGAAGAGGAATATGTACCTGAAATGGCTAAAGATTTACAGAAATGATGAATAAGTCTTTAAACTTAACAGAGTCTTTATGCAAAATGAAGTTCAGTGGAAGTAACTATTCACTGGTAGAGATGTAGTTTTAAATTTTCTTTCTAAATGCATTCACCGAAGTGTGAACTATAAATTGAAGAATTGCTTACTGTAGCCTGTGTTTTGGAAGAAGCTCTATTGTGTTGTGTTTAGTGTGCTTTGACTGTTTGAGTGTGCCCTTATGATACCCTCACTGTTCATTTTGAGATTCAAGCAATTTCCTGCAGTCAGGGCACTTGCTGTCTTGGAGCTATATAAGAATTCCTGAAAGTAGTTGTGCTAGTGCACAACCTAATCATACAGTGCATCTTATGTCATTGCAATGTTCATTCTACATATACGGTAGGTTTTTGTAGTTTGCGACTTCAGAAGAGAAGATTATGCATAATAGTTGTGACTAGAACGAATTTTGTGTCTTGGGTGTGAAATTTCCCATGTATCCATATAACTTTGCAAAAGAGAACTAAAGAATGCCTCCCATTTTGGGAAATGTTGCACAGAAAAACCATTCTGCTTTGTGGAAGGCAGTTTTTGTCCAAAACTCTCACCTTGAAAACTGATTATATTTAGCTGGGCTGTTCCATGTATGAGGCAGGTATTGCCAAGCAGCTTTTCAAGGAATGTTGGATGATTTTTACCAGATGTGTTCAGAACCCAGATGTGGAAGGCAGAGTCTGTCTCTGTGTCTTTGCTGGTTAATCTAGTGCATATTTTTGCTTTGTTTATTCCAAACATAGTTTCAGAAGCTGAGTTGTGCAAACAAATCAGAGATGCAACATGCCACTTGACTGAAACCATGCTGCTGAAGTGAAGAAATGTAAGAGAAGAATTCAGAGAAAGTAGTGTTTCCGTAGTGGGAGCAATAAATATTTATTTATTAAAAATAACATTAATCTATACATTGCAAGCCTGCTTTTTTTCCTGAAGAGATTTTATGCAATGTTTGCAGGGAATATAGGTAACTATATTCACTGTGAAGTGAAAACTTGTGTTTTGATTCTTCAGTAGAGCTGTTTCCTGAAGTATCTGTAATTAATGTAATTAATGGCTGTACATGTCCATCATATGTGCTTCTTTTTGAACTGGAAAGTATCATTCAGTACTCTGATATGCAGTGCCTTTCAGCTTTATTTTCTAAACCCTTAAGCCATTCTTAATCTAGAATCACTATAAAATTAAGTTTAAAATGCAATGTTTTAATGTGAACAATTAGAGTTGCGTGTGAGATTCTCCCTTCAGGCTCTTCCTCTTCCCTCTAGATGCTACCTTTGTGGTGTTGATGCTGATACTGTCCTTGCAAGGTTTAAAATGATACTAAAATGCAGGTAATTAATTTACCATATATAGGATGTTAGAAAAAAATATGAATTTGCATTTATTTAATATTAATATCAGTCAAGTTACCAAGGCTGTTAATTAAAATTAGTGTAAGGGTACAAGTGTGTGTTTGCACATGTGTGACTGAAAAAAATCTCCTTATTTTCCCTTTGTTCTGTCCACTCCTAAATTGAGGGTTATTTATTGCTGCAGTCATACGGATATTAATACACTTTTCTCCATCTGACTTTCTTTTAGCACACTGATTTATGTCAGTACATGGACAAACACCCTGGAGGGCTTCATCCAGAGAATGTGAAGGTAAGAGTCAAAAAGAGCACACATTCAAGGCAAAAACAGTAACAGTGTAAAATGTCATGTCAATTGTTTAATAGAAACTCATATATTTACTCATATATTTTATATATGAGTAAATGCTATTAACAGTGTTGATAATTCCTCCCCTCCATTCGAATATTTGCCCTTAAGACAAGACAATACTGCCCTTAAACCTCACAGTAAACGTGCTTTATGATGTCAGTGCTAGATCTTTAGTGAGGTAAGTCAGCGTAGGTTCACCAAGTTTGAGGGAACTGTAATGAATGCTATCAGCTGAATGTACTGATTTTTATATGAGCAGATAAAATATTCCCCAATCTTTTTGCTCACTTTGATGAAGCATTTTAATAGCTGATCTCACTTTGGAGTTTTTTTCTTTCTAAGGTAGATACTTGGAATCATCATGCAAGAAAGAGGAGGTTTAATAGCAGGATTTAATGGAAGTATAGATGGGTAGAGACTTGATCGAGTTACTTTTTGGGAAGCCAGCCAAATGATTTTAGCATTAAATGGAAGCCAACCAGACATGCAGAATGTGTCGTGTGTATATAGATCACTCAGATGATATTTGTTACAACTGTCTTGCACTTCAACGTCAGTCCCATTGTTGTTCTACTTTGGAAGTGTTTAAATCTTTACTTGTCATACTGAGAGCTTTATTCCAGTATTTAACTTCTTGAAATTTAGAAGTTCATGATAAAAAATAACTCTCTCTTTTCTGGAAAACTCAGAAGGCCTGTTTGGTTTAAGGAAAGAAAATGTTTTAAAAAGAGGAAGGATTTTTTTTTTCTGCAATAGCTGATCATTGTTGCACATCATCTGGTTTTACAGGGTAGTTTCATGACTTTTCTATGTTCTTTGACTGAAAAGTGTCACCTACAACATGTGAATGTAGATGAGAACAACTGCTATCTAACAAATTTAAGGAAAATTCTTTCTTACTGCATATATTTGGCCAAACTAAAAAAAAAAAATGTTCTTTTTGAAAATGCATGTTGTGTTTGCTGCAAGATAGCATCCTTGTAATGTCTGACTGTCACTCAGACATTTTGCTAGTGTGAACAGGGAAAGCCCATGGGTCTTCTCCCACTGCCAGCTTCACAGTGCCTCTGTGTGTGGCACTTTTACATTCGTCTCTCTGAGGTTTGGTATAAGTGAAGACTGGCTTTGAAGGTTCTTTGTGCTCCTTCAGATTTGCAAGGCTGCAGTGCTGTATAGTTGGAGGTCTGATATGCAGTAGTCATTGTAGCTGTAATTGTTCACTGCTAAAAAGACATTATAATTGTACTTTCATTTGATATTATCAGGGCCCAGTGAGCTTGTCTTTGAGGAGGGAGGATGGGCATAGGCAGATAGTTGGGCTTGCTAATGTATCAATCCTCTAAATCCTGAGATACCTGTCTTTTAAAACAGTAGCCACAGAGGGAACAGATTTTGCTGCATGTATTCCCGTCTTTTTTACTGCATGACTGTCTTTACTGTCTAACAACAGTGCTCAGCAACACTTCCAAAGCTTATAGACACATTAGAAATATTTTTTTGAGTAAGCACATGTAGAGTCCTGAGGTACTGCTAGTTCAAATTTTTTAAAGTCCAAATGGATTTTTAATAAAAGGAAACTAAAGGGGGGGGGGGGGAAGTGAAAAAAAAATTTGGAAGTTGGAGCAGATGAAACTACTCTTCTACCATGAGGAAACTCTTTTAACAGATCTTTTTCTCTTCAATAATATTAATGAAAATCAGTTGTATATATTTAGAGGACTCTCTTGCCAGGCCAGCAGCAAAGGCTAGTGTTAATTTACACAGTAATTAAAACTTGGCATGATGATTTGAACTCCTACCAATTTAAAACTGAATCAGCCAGCTTGAGGTTTTCAGTGAATACCTGCTCTCAAAGCTGAGTGAAAAATAGTCCAAGACTAGGCTGTCAGGACAAGAACCCAGTCATGTGTGTTAAAAACTCCCAGACCTTCACAAGCATGCCAAACTAAAAGCTTGCACTACTCTTTTCTTACAGAGGAAGTAAGATGGTTACTTCATAATATCTTAATGCTTTGTTGTACTGTACTCAGCTTGTCGATTTATGTAATTGTGGTTCTGAGACTTTGCCACCTATGTTGGTTTTAGCTTCTGGACAAAGTTGTCTATTTGGAGCTACAGCTGATTTTTAAGGGTTGAGCTGAGCCATGTTAATTAGCCTTCTCTCCCTGCCAGCCCCTTCTTGCTAGAGGTCCTTCAGGAATTTCACTTTTAGTCAGAGTTTTGGACAGTGTTTGTTCAGAATCAGTGGTTGTGTGATCCCTAAATCCATTTTAAAAACTTCCAGTTGAGCAATTATATTCCAGTAGCAATAAATTAGTCTCAGCTCTCTGGGGCTAACCTGTGGGATTAAGCCCATTAATGCTCTCCCAGTATGACAAAAGACCCCCTGCCTTTTAATTTTGTTCTTGAGGAAAGTATTGCCTGCTGATAGATATTCCTTTCTGGCTTGTTGCCAGTTATTATAAACACAAAACCACATAATCAAACACCTTTCATTATCAAAAGAATATATGAGGTAGTTCCTGTAAAACAGTACTTTATATGAAGGCAGAAAAACCCCCATTATTTAATTACGTTTTGTTTTCTATGAGACATCTCCAGCCTAATTATATTTCTGAATTTTCTCTGTATTTACAAGCTAAAGACAATGCTTGTTCCCTCAGGCTTACTTTTAAATGAAGAATTGTAAATAGAATAAAAATCCAAATTACTTTGACGGACACACATATTTCTGTCCCCTCGGGTGTTGTGTTTGACATTGCCTTTCTTTGTGGTTTCAAATAGGCTATTTGCTGTCACTTAAATATTTTAAATAAAGACTAAGCAGGGTATTATAAGTATGTGGAAGTAGAAACAAGAATGTCTCAATTGGCAGTTGTAGAAGTCTTGGGACGGTATGTTTAGGCAAATAAAACAATATTGCTTCCCAAAGTGTTAGGTTTAGCGTTTTTAATGGTATGTGTGTATTGACACATAATGATTTAAGAATTTTATGATTCATGCATGGAGGTGCAAGTCTTACAAATAACATCAGGCTTTAAACCCTTCAAAGATTTTTGTGTGAAGGTGAGATGTGGTTTTAAAAATATCTGTCCCTGAGAACTTTAAACCAAGTATCCTTGGTAAACACAATTGTTTACATCTTTGGTAACTAACAAGCTTGCATGTCTACCATTTATTTATAACTATATATTAATATACTTTGTACAGTGTTATAGTTAGAGATGATGAGAAAAAAGGTAATCAGTTAACAAGTTCTTGTGTAGTAGGCAGGGCCTCATCTTCTCTTGTCTGATTTTGAAGATATCTTCCTCAGTTTTTCCAGAACTGAAGGCACACAATAAATATTAAATACATGGCCCCACATATAATTATATTTCCTTTGGAAGCTACTGCTGCAGCCTTGTACGTGATTGGACATATGAGTTGATTTGTAAGTGTACTGTTTGGCACTTGCCAAGCTGCAAAATGTGCTGTGGCAAACTGAGGTACAAGATTTGCTACTGACTCTCCTTGTGCTGTTTCTGCTGGCCTGGACTACTGAAATCTATACTCCTGGCTTTCTTTCCTACAGCCATTCCAACCTTTAGAGATAGTCCAGGCTCAGCTGAAGCATCTGGATTACCTCCTAGAGCAGGAACTCTAGTGGGTTATAACAAGTAACTGCCTCTACCAGTGATATTTTTTTTATTATGATTTTCATTCTGATTTATGTCCCTTAAGTATCTTTTTTGTGCATTTCAGCATGTCCTGTGAAAATGTAACTGTTCTTAACTTCTTCTAACCTTTGAAATATCATCTTTATTATAACCGTGTCTTTTACTCCATATTATTACGTTCCTGGTAATGCACATAAATTGCTCTTTATATCTTGATGCATTTATTTTATAGCTGAGTTTGTTTACTGTAGCTCCTGTTACTGGTGGAATAAATGGAGCAGAGGCTTGCATCTGTCATGCCTGCATGGCCTGTTTGCATCCCTGCCTTAAAAATAAATCTATTAATGAAAGCTGATTTGCTTCTTAATTAGTGATGCTGCCTTGAAATAGCTGTAGTCTTTGAGAAAAGCATCCTCATATTTTTCTCTCTTTTTTTTTCTTCTACTTTCAGTGTTAGAGGTAATATTGATTTGTGCGAGCATTTGGCAGAAAAACCCCCCTCTTTGACAAAATAAAAAGGCACTTGCCTGTGACCTACTGTTCCTTAATTCATGCAACACCAGCCTGAATGACAATGGATTGTCAACCAGACAAAAAAAGGTCTCTGTCTCTTAATCATTCTCAGAACCTTTTACTTCAGGCGACTTGGAAGGCTCCTGTAGTCTACTGTGACCAGAGGGGGGACGGAACTTCCAGTTTGTTCTTATTCTGTCTAATATTGCTGCACTGATTTGTTCTTCTCCCTGGGCACCTTTTCTCTTCCTAGGGCCAAACAGTGATAAGAAATAGACAGACCCTCTTGTTGAGCTTTGCATCAGAAAACAGGAATATTCAGCCTTCTCCCAGGAGCCTTCAAGAATTCAGCTCTTACCCATCTCAATTTTGAGCCTTCCTTGCTCCTAGGAAGCAGGACACAGCAGTTTTCTATGCATAATGGATGGATAGTTTTGAAGGAAAACCTCAACCAACTAAACCCTACCCCTACCACAACCTTTTAAAATGTGTTTTATCGCTGTCATACTGAGTCAGGGTATGTGGCAAAGTGTGGATTGGAATTTGGGTATTGAGCTTGCTAGGGCAGCCAAATAATCTCTGTAAAATATGCTTAAATTTCAGCAAAAAACTATAATTAGTTTGTCTTAAAACTTTTAAAAAATGGTTTAAAAGAAATGTAATTGATAGGAATTAATGAAACATAATGGGATGCTGCAGCATTTTTCTGTGCTAAATGCTCAAGAAGAGGTTGGTCAACTTTATAGCAATTATATAGTTAAAAAAATA